TGGGCTGTTATGGCATACGGGGATGGGGGCAGCTCGCGCTCAACTTCATCAACGTGGCGAGCCTTGCACGTGAGAGGCACAGTGGAGGTGGAGTTCAAAGAAGAATGAGAATTTAATGGTTTCAATCTGCCCTTGTTTTTTCTTTTTGTTTTTATTTTTATTTTTGCATGTTATCACCATGCCCGTTTTTTGCTTTTATTCTTTGTTCCGCAAAGTGCGCTCTTTTAGTTTGTAGTTATGTGACAATATATATAGGAGTAGGTAATGGAAGGTAAAAGAAACAGAAGTTGAGAGAAGAGTGTAGAAAGAACAGAAAGAGAGAGAGAGAGAGAGAGAGAGAGAGAGAGAGAGAGAGAGAGAGAGAGAGAGAGAGAGAGGACAACTATTGTCAACAGCAGTAGTGAGCCCAAGGAAGATGGCGTCTGAGAGCGGCTGCAGAGAAGAAGCCCACGGCGAGGGATATCGAAGCATACAGGGAGGAAAAGGCAACAAGATGACAATATATATATATATATATATATAAGATTCTTCGATTGTTGCCATTGTTGGCTAGTCAAACCACTACAATGAAACAAACGAAATACAGAAAAGGATCATCACTTGCCAGCCTCAGTATAAAGGAAAACCGCTAACAATTCTCACCGACTAAAGTCAGGATATAACCGAGTAGGAAACTGATGGCGAACCCAGTTTACAACAAGCGCACTGTTTTCTATTCTTTTCTCGTGCATCGGCGGGGGAAACAATTGTTACCTACCTTGAAGTCTGGGCCACCATGCCGTCCTTACCCGAATATAACTTGTGGGCATTATAGCTGTATTTACGTCAATGTTCTATTCGGGTGAAGAGGGTAGTAGCTGTATTGGGGTCGATGTTCCGTATATTACAGCAATAATGACCGTACGACGTACGTTTCTTTTTTTTTCTTCTTCTTGTTTTTAAATTTATTTATTTATAAAAGCCCAGGTTCTTGTTGTAGACGTGGGATACTAGACAGATGGCAGTCACCCTTACCTGGCCCCTCAGTTGTCGAGATGAACCCCTCTGAAGACCCCACCCACCCTTCCTCTCATCTTTTTGCCCTGGCGCACTCCCACCCTTCCTGTCCTACCCTAGCGTTAACCACCCAGGACGAACACCCATCGCCATCTCGGCGGGTTGACCTGACCAGACCGGTTGCAGGCACCCGGGCTAAGGAGAGACTCATACCCCCTGCTCAGCCCCGGTTGAAGCAGATGCCGTGCAAGCCCGATTGCATGGGGACTTCGGGAGCTAGGTATGAACGTGCTTCGGGTGATTATGGTAGATTCTAAGTTCTTATTGCTGTGCCGATTTCTAGGGGCATCACACTCAAATTAAAGTTCATTCCCATCGTCAACCTGCATGCTTCACACGCTGGATCAGATCGAAGTATGCGAGAATCGCTGCATCCATCTGGTGTTGTCTGTGGCGCAAGTTGAGTAGGGCACTACAGCCTTGCAGGTTTGGGGTGGATATCACGACTAGTATGGTTCCACTTTTGAACCACCATTGCATTTCCCAGCCATTTTGTAGAGCTGCACCGTGCATGCAGGCGCGTCGGGCGGAATGTACCCAGGTGCCGTTTTGACCGAAATCCATCCGAGCAAAACGGGTCGCCCGTTTCCCGGCCATTTTGCAAAAACGCGCCCGGCATGCGGGCACATCGGGCGAGATATACCCAGGCGCCGTTTTGACCAAAATCCATCCAGGCAAAGCGGGTCGTCACATACGACCCCTTTTCGTCGTCACATACGACCCCTTTTGGTCGTCGCATATGACCCCTTTTGGCCTGATGGATTTCAGTCAAAACAGCACCCAGGTGCCATGTCGCCCAAAATCCGTCCAGGGAAAACCGGTCATCGCTGGATGGATTTCGGTCAAAACAGCCCTCAGGCGCCGCTGTTTTGACAGAAATCTTTATGCATCCAAACAAAGCGGGCCGTCACATACAAATCGTTTTGCCTAGATGGATTTTGATCAAACGGCACCCCGGGACATCCCACGCAACGCGCCTCGCATACACAGTGCAGTTCTGCAAAATCGCTGGCAACGACCCATTTTGCCTAAATGGATTTCGGCCAAAACGGCACCGCGGTACATCCCGCCCGACGCTCCTGCATGCACGGCGCAGTTCTACAAAATGGCTGGGAAACGTATTGGTGGTTGAAACACAGGGCCATGGCTGTAGTGCCTATAAGAGACTTGGCTCTTGTGGCTGAGGGTCCCGGTTCAATTCCGTGTGTGCGCAGATGGACCTAAGGCCAGAAAGTGCGTATTCATAACTACTCTATGCTTGATGAACAGATCATGAGTTCAAATCCTGATGTAATCAGACCGATACAATAGGGGCACCCCCCTGTTAGTACATTATAAACATGCATGCTTGCTGATTTGCTTCTTCAACCAGTTTCTCACACACTCTTTATTTTCCTTCCTTGTATGGTTGTGAACAGCGGCACTCTATAACGAGCTTCGCGAAGAGGCAAGCGACCATGCGCGCATCCGTAACAGTTGTTTTCAGCAGGTATGAGGATTTACTAAGGCTTTCTTAGCTGAGTGGGTTGGTACACCCATGAAACTGTTGAAATACAGACCCAAGTTCGAATCCAGATGCAACAAGATGACAAGAGTGAAAGCATTCTGAATTACATTGGGCCGGTCAGAGTTTAATGAATGATATTGCAAGCCTGCCGCCCTTCTTTGTTTTTTTTTTTGGCTCTCATTACAAAAGGAAAGCAAGCGCTGACCAAACACATGTGACTGAATGTTACACGAGTGAACTGTCGATAGACAGACCTGAGGTCGAACTTCGAATACTGTTAACTTGTGCTAATGGCATCCAATAAGGAGAAATAAAATACCCCTGGATTACCAAGGGCACCTCAGGGCCATCGCTCTTTAAATCAGCGCCACACACCCCAAGCCAAAAAGAATGTCCTTCGGCCCTTTGCGACGTCCGTTAAAATTGGAATGATACAGAGAAGATTACCATGGCCCCTGTGCAAGGATGACACACATAAATCGAGAAATGGTCCAAATTAAAGGGGGGGGGAAAAAAAGAGTAAGTGTGCATTGTGCAACTTTGCATAAGCAGTTCAATGAGCAGTTGGTCACAGGTCTGTAGTATACGCAGGTTTCCTAGAAATTCCTTAAAGTTTTCTATATTTCTCAGCCGAACCGGGTAATGGCCCCGGTATCTAATGTTTGTATAATGGTTATGGGACGTTGGGCCCGGTTCCCAGCGCGTGTTGCTCCCCACGAATAGATTGGAGCAGTTGTGCCCCCCCCCTAAAAAAAAAAACTTTGCATACATCCAAATTTCCAAAAGTTTTGGGGGCTCAGGTCCACCAGGCCTAAATGACTGGTGCAACCAGCCAAAAAGAAAAGAAATTCTGCCCGTGGCCCCGTGCTTTTTTTTTTTATTTATATGTGGCCCGATGGACTACAGATCAGATGTTGAACTGAAACAGAACAGATACTACACTTGATCTTAGCCAAATGGCCGAGAAATGTTTGTTTTTTCTTTGGTGGAGAGCAGGATTTCAGATTGGTAAAAACAGCATCAGGTAATACTCACACCACTGCTTCCCTAAATGCATCTGAGATTCTGTCTGCAATTACGGCCAGAACCAGGATGCGAGGATTGAGCCCTCGGCAGCTCATAAGGGCCCCACTGTTCCTTACTCATGCACGCCCGAAGTGAAGGCGGGCCTGCATTTTGCAAGGGGCCTCCTGTTGAGGGGCATTTTCCAGGCCCTGGGTGCCAGACAGACTGGGCTCCAGATGGTTACAGGGCCGACATCTGTGTGACTGAGACATCTTGAGCCTTCCAGTCTTGTCCAGGCAGCGGCGTGGAATCAGGCCTTCCGGCCAATCAGAGTGCAGTGAGTGACAGGAGCCACGTCGCACAGTTGGTGTGCCTAACTGCTTCGGGCCCAGGCCAGTATCTGAATTGAGCCTGAGCGGATATACTTTGGCTCGACTAGAAGCTACTGGGGCCCAGAGCTCGCCAACACTTTCCATAAAGGACAGTGCCCAGCGCCCAGCCAGGCCTTCTGGCAGGAGGCACCCTCGTGGCCACGCTGCTGGTTTACAGCGCTGGCTGGCTGCTGGGGCGCTTGATGGAAGGCGCACACAGGCGCTGTGTGGTGGGGGGCACTGCTTGGGCAGCTTGCCCGAGTGGCCATAGCCAGGCCAGCTCGTAAGTTGCCAGTGAGGAGTGATGGTGGTCTTTGGGTGATGATGGGAGATGCACGCTGTGGGGGGACAAGATGATGGAGTGAGGGGAAAAGAGAATCGTACCTGATGCATATGCCGCAGTCTGCACGGGTAACTTCTTCATGTACATCGGTCTTCGTCTGGAAGTGACTCCTGGTTGCGTTGTCGTTAGTGGTAGGCTAGTATAGGTTCTGAGTACTTGTAGGCTGGGCGCTGAGCGCCAATCAAGAAGAGCGACATTGGATACATGTTGATGATGGCGAATTGAGCCTACATTTACGGTCGAGTTCATTGCGTTGCTCTTATCTGGCTTGTATCTCAGTGCGTTCTGCTTCCTGCTTGGGACCGGACTATCTGGTCTACAATGTGATGTTGCCATTTGGTTTTCTGTCTGTGGCTCTCGCTAAATTTCCTTGCAATTTGGTATCGGAGCTGGTTCAGATATCGCTTTACCGGCGCGGGTGTTCTAGTTACTTGGTGCGTTGGGGGAAGTCCATCGCAGTAAGGATACTGGGACGCCGGTTTGATTGTGTCCTATCCTGGGTAGAGAGGATCGGGCAGGAAGGCTTGGGGTTCAGCGTGTGCATGTGGGATGATGAGAGCATGCTGACGTGGCATTTGTGCTGAGGTGACACTGCAATTGTATTGTGGGGGGTGCCGAGGTTAGGACTTGTCATCAAAATGGACGTCGGCTCAATTGGTGCGAAATCTGTGGTTGGGGGAAGCTATCTCCAGGTACGTTGTTCATGACCTTATCTTCCCTCCTCAGTTCTTCTTACCGTGAGGGACAGAGTCCGTCTTGAGAGACCTCTCCTGGTTTAGGAGTCCAGAGCTCACATCTGGTGGGAGAGGGGTGGTGCCTCTGAAGGGCCCTGGACGAAGCGCAGGTCACGGTTACAAGCCCAACCCATGGGACTAAAGCACGCATGCTTTGCTGCATTGTTCTTTGATCTCTTGCTGTGCATAGAGGTGGTGTGGGGCAGGCATGCTTTGCTGCATTGTTCTTTGATCTGTTGCTGTGCATAGAGGTGGCGTAGGACAGGCCAGCTCTGTGTGCGGTCGACAAGTACCGGACCGTCGTTAAAGACGTTCCGGCGGGGGTAGAGCACGCATGCTTCGCTGAATTGTCCTTTGAGCTCTGGCTGTGCATAGAGGTGGTGGTGGGCAGGCCATCCCTGTGTTGGATCGACGAGTACCAGACTGTCATTAAAGCCATTCCGGCGGCGAAACGGACTTGGTGCGTTGGGGGAAGTTCATCGCTGTAAGGATTCTGGGATGCTGGTTTGATTGCGTCTGATCCTGGGTGGAGAGGATTGGGCAGGAAGGCTTGGGGTTCAGCGGGTGTGTGTGGGATGATGAGAGCATGCTGCATGGCATTTTGTGCTGAATTGTGGGTGGTGCTGAGGCTACGATTGGTCATCAAAATGCTTGTCGGCTCAATTGGTGAGAAATCTGTGGTTGGGGGCAGCTTTCTCCAGGTACGTTGTTCCTGAACTTATCTTCCCTCCTCAATTTCTTCTTACCTTGAGGGAGAGCGTCCGTCTTTTTTTAGATTCCTCTCCTGGTTTAGGAGTCGAGAGCGCCCTACCTTGAGAGAACATTCTTCCTCGTGGTGCATCTGGTGGGAGAGGGCGGTGCTTCTGAAGGGCCCTGGACGAAGCGTAGGTCAGAGTCACAATGCCAACCCATGGGAGTGGAGCACGCATGCTTTGCTGCATTGTCCTTTGAGATCTTGCTGCGCATAGAGGTGGTGTAGGGCAGGCCAGCCCTGTGTGGGATCAATGAGTACCGGACCGTCGTTAAAGACATTCCGGCGGGGAAACCGGCTCACACTGTACGCGAGGATAAAAAGTGTACTTTCTGGGTTGGCCAGTTTCGCAATTACATGAGCACAGGGGTGGGCCGTTGAGCACAGGGGTGGGCCGTTGTGCACACCATTAGGCACCGCTGCTTTCTGATGCAGCCAGGACGTCATGTGTGAAGACAATCAAGAGGGATACAGGGGGAAGGGAAGATTCCAATTGACGCTCGTTTGTAATTATTGTATATTACCATTCCGCATACATCTATGAGATTGTTTTTATTTTGATTAGTTTAGGTGTTGGCAGACTCTGCTCACACCTGACAGACAACAATAGAGTAGTACTGTAGCAGTCTACAATTTCCGGTTCTATACATTGCTGCTTTTTCAGAACTAGTCAAAGTAGAGATAGGATCATTTGCAGAATCTGTGTATTCTCTGTTCACGCCGCCTGAATGGTCTTCTGAGTTTTAGACCGAATGTTTATTTATTTATTTATTTGTATCTCGGTCAGTCACCATGTTGTGGTAGGTCCCAGCGAGGATGCTAGTGCAGACCATGAGCTGCGGTAGCTGATGAGTCATATTGGTAGTGAGGAGGAGGGAGCTGACGAAGGGAGGTTGAGGCTACAGAGGTAGATGATATTTCCAATCTTGTGGGGGAGACAAATGGTGAGGAGAGTTCAGGGGGAGGAGCCCTCGCTGCGGGAACAACAAGGACTAAGGCAACTGGCAAGCGCAAAGGCTTCCAGTCAAAGGGTCAGGGCAAGGACCAGGTCTCACCCAATGCACCAGCTTGGGTGAAAGTTGGACTTGAATAGGACGTTTGGAGGGACCGGTAGTTCGTGGGGCTTGTATTAACTGTGGTCGGTACGGTCACACACAGTACAAATGTAAGAACAAGGTCTCTGAGAAAATTCACCGGTAGTGGGTCTTGGCAGCCCAGGGAGGTACTTCTGCAAGTATGCCCTAGGGAAACACATCGGGCCAGTAGAAGTTATAGCTGCCTCTACTCATGCTGAAGTGGCGAATGGTTAATCACCACTTCAGGAGATGGGCAAAGCTATTGACTCTTTTTTCACCTCGTAAACAGGTCAAGACCAAACGATGATGCTCTGTTCATTAGACGTGTCTGAAGCCTTAGAGCACTTAGAAAAGGAGTGGACCCTCGTGAGTCTTGTGTGGCAATAGCAAAGGGTCCCAGAGGGGAGAATTCTGTAGTGGAAGTTAGTGCGGGCGGCTGCAAGTGTGGTGTCTTCGCAGACATTGGCTCCACGAGGAACTTCATGAGTCGTGCTTGTGTTGTTGAGAGGCTGTGCTTAGGGGACCAAGTGCAGCAGCTGAGTAGGGCTGTAGTCTCTACCTTAGCCAACAAGGAGCGCATGGTTCTACAGGACTATGTTAAAGACGTGGTCTGCACCTTCTCCTATGGGGGAGGGAAACTTGATCATTAGATTTCGGTCCTAGTCAGAGATGATTTGCCGTTCGATATGTTGTTAGGTATGTACTACCTTGAGGTTGCTCAGCCCCAGTTTGATGCTCAAGCATGTGTTGCCAGATGGGAGGACAATTAGACTTGCGAAGTATAAGGCTAGCAGGCTAGTGGATTCTTATGGCTGCATGTGCGCACATGCGTTCTACAATTACTACAAACAAAACCAAGAGGAGGGTATGTATCTAGTCTTTGTCTCTGACAAAGTGAAGGTCGTTAAATCAACCCCAGAGATAGAAGTCATCGTCGCTAGATATCATGATCTGTTTGAGGAGCCTTGAGGGGTTGTAGACAGGGTAGTTGTCCACGCGATAGAGATCATCCCTAGCAACAAAGCGCCAAAGGGGAGAATCTATAGGATTGCCTCTCCGGAGTTGGATTAGCTCAGGCGGCAACTGAAAGAGCTCATAGAGAAAGGATGGATTCGGCCTAGTACATCTCCCTACAGTGCGCCAGTTTTATTTGTTCCGAAAGAAAGGGAACCGTTGTGAATGCGCATTAATCATAGAGGCCTCAATGCCATCACTGTGAAAAACGCAGAGCCGCTACCTCCCATTGACGACCTTTTGGATACGATGCAGGGATGCAGAACTTGACCAAGATAGATTTGAACTCCAGCTACCATCAGATTGCAATCAGACCTGAGGATCAACACAAAACCGCTTTTCAGACCAGGTGTGGCCTCTATGCCTTTTGGTTTGTGCAATGCGCAGGGTATATTCCAGCACACCATGAATAGGGTGTTTCACGACTACTTAGATAAGTTTATTATTGCAGTGTACCTCGGCGATATTATTATATTTAGTAAGACTGTTGAGGAGCACGCGCAGCACGTTGACCTTGTGCTTGGTCTCCTTTGACAGCACAAGTATAAGATCAACTTGGAAAAATGCGAGTTCGGGTGCACCAAGATATTATACTTGGGTCATGAGATATCCGCGGATGGACTAAGGCCGGAAGATGCGAAGGTGGCTAGCAATAGGGACTGGCCACGACCTCAGTCTGTGACGGAGGTCAGGTCTTTCTTGGGGATGACGGGGTATCATCGAAACTGTGTAAAGAACTATAGTTCAGTTGCCTCCCCCTTGACAAACCTTACGCGCCTTGACACCCCGTGGGAGTGGACGGATGACTGCAAGAGAGCCTTCAAGCGATTGAAGCATGCTCTCATGCATCATGAGATCCTAATGCTTTCTACTCCTGAGAAACCATTCATTGTGACCACTGATGCAAGCCAATATGGCACAACAGGAGGGGAAAAAGTTGAGGCCACGTAGCTCCTTAAAGACGGCTCCTTTCTATTATTCAACATTGAATCGAGAGTGGAGCACGCTGAAGAAATTTGGTCCACAGTTTCAATGTGATGAGACAGGTGCGGTCCTATAGAAACCGACAACCGGTGGAGTTAACCGAAAAAAAAAAAAAAAAAAAAAAAAGAATTGAATGAAGTGGTGGGCATTATCGAACAATGATTCGCGGCCGAGAGCCGTATGATGGGAAACAATCACATGCAGTTTGGAGGGCGGGAAAATAAACTTAACCTCTAGTGCATGGCCCCACCATCCGAAGATTTTGGGGCTTGGGCCTACCGGACCACAACGGCTGACGGCGCCAGCCAAAAAAGAAACCAATTGCGCCGCTGGCGGTTCAGCAAAGCCTGGCGCGTAGTGGAGGGCCTCAAGGCCCGCGTGTACTGGTTGCTTAATCCTGACCCCTAACAATCTCCACTTACTGTGAAATACACAGGAAAACAAAGTGCTGAGCACACAAACAAACAGTCAAGCACGTTGTCAAAGACATGAACACACAGTAGAACGCAAAAAGTCAAACACCCGGTCGACCATTCATTTGGACACACCATCGAGCACACAAACACACAATCTAACGCATGAACAGCCAGTTGATCAGATATGAGGCCTGTGAACACATAGGCAGGATGGTTGTAGATGCTGTGAACATGTGAACCCTGTAAACATCACACTGCAGCAACTGACACCTGACATCAAAGTTCAGTCTGTCGCATTCCGTTCGTTGACCAGTAATAACGTCTTTTTCTTTCTTCTTGTCTCTTGCAGTGGATATAGCCATGGAACATACCTGACCTTGGAGCATATTAAGTTTATTTTTTTTATTTACAGGGGTGGGTGTGCAACTCGTTCCTTTTGGCAACTGCAGGCGACACATGCGTACCTTGGAGGCAACAAGCGTCTTGCAAAAGAGCTTGGTGCACAGGGGCAGTGGCACAATGAACAGATGAAGGCTGCCCATGCGAAGGCCAGTGAGGCAATATTCAGGCATAGGTTCGTCTGCATATATATGTTTTCCCTCATATCAATCCCTGCCAGTGCGTTTTATCTGGGTAGTTTGATGCTGCATGCATCCCTTTTGCATGTGAGTGTGTGATGATTGTGTGTGTGTGTGTGTGTGTGTGTGTGTGTGTGTGTGTGTGTGTGTGTCATTGTGTGTGTGAGAGAGAGATAGAGGCTGGAAGGGAGAGTCTGCGTGACAGAGTGACGGGGAGCGCGCGCGAGAGAGAGGGGAAGTGAGCAAGAGAGAGAGAGTGTGTATGTTACAGAGAGAGAGGTATCCCGTTCCTGTGTGTGCATGTGTGCATGTGGTTGTGTGTGCGTCTGTGTGTTTGTGCGCGCGTGCGCGCGCGCGCGCGCGCGCGCGCGCGCGCGAGAGAGAGAGAGAGAGAGAGAGAGAGAGAGAGAGAGAGAGAGAGGGGGGGGTGTGTGTGTGTGTGTGTGTGTGTGTGTGTGTGTGTGTGTGTGTGTGTGTGTGTGTGTGTGTGTCAGAGAGAGAGAGAGAGAGAGAGAGAGAGAGAGAGAGGAGACACACACAGAGTAGGATTTTATGTAGAGTGAAGTAGGTTATTAGTGTTGGTGGTTACTTCATATGAGACCAGCTAATCTGTTGTTGTAGCAATAAGAGGAGGCGAGATATCGGGCTTTCTTTGTCAAGAGGCTTCAGTACAATTGTGTTTCTCCCCCCCTTAAACCACGTATTACCTCCACCAGTGTTGGGAAAAAACTCCTAAAAAGTCAGGGGCTGGGCCCGACGACGGCCGCCATTGATAAATCTCATGCACGGCCGTCGTTTCGTTTCTGCCTCCTAAAAGATCGGAGGCCCACCCGATGCCTCCCTATTTTCCCAACCTTCAAAGGTACTCGTGGTTATTAAAAAAAAAAAAAAAAAAAAGAGAAGGTCCTACATTTTTATGGTGCTCAGTGTTTTCCTTTGTGTCGAAAGACGAAAACGTCGAAAAGGTCCGGGGATGACATGCGGCTCTGAGACCAGGGAGCTGACAATTCCGCTCTCTATTTGGTGATGTATGGTCCTCAAGTGAATATCAGGAGCTGCTCGAAAGTCGACAGCACTTTGTAAATCGAGAAAGGCCTACCTTTCATGGAGCAGTTCCAGCGTTATACCACGGCTAATGCGCCGATCGGATCCAAACGTGGACTTTCAGTTGGCAAGATAGAAGATAAGCTACGACTCTTATGAGTCTATTGACTATTGTCTCGATGCTCGGTGTTGTGGTTGAACAGCTGCAGGAGGAGGTCTCGGCATCAAGCCACTTGCACCCTCAGCCGCCCCCGTTGACCTTAACAGATTTTCCAGCTCTGTCTGCTGTGGAGAGAATCAAAGGCCAGTTGCAGAATGGTGGAATGGATGTTCCTGGGATGGGCAGGGGCTCTAGGCTGGATGATGCGGAGTTGAGGGGTATCGGACGGGGAGGACCGGGTATAGACGTGCGAGGGCTCCCTGACTTTGCTGCGGTTGTCAGAAAGCACGCTGCTCAGCAAGCCCAGTGGCAGTTGGAGTGCAATAATACCCTGACCGAGGCCGGAATGGGTAGGGGCAGGAACCCAGTGTACGCTTCACGAGGTGCTGGCCATGGCTTGGAGATGGGACGAGGAGGATCGCACAGCTTGAAATCTGACTCCTACACGAATGGTCGTGGACTACCTGCCCCGTCGCTTGCTCCGAGCCAGTGGCTGGACACAGGCACTGCTGTCAGTGAGTGTTCACTTGTCTCCTCGTCTTTGCAACTCCGTTAAGGAACCCTGGGAATAATGAAGGGGAATAAGCTAGAACACAGAAAAAAGGGGGAAAAAAAGGACTTCCTGTGGCGTGTAAGTGAGTCCGGTCTGTTGGTTCTGCGTTCCGTGTTGTAAGATCCATCCTGTTAAGCATCGTGTTCCTTTTGGAAAAGAACACACTGATCTGCTTAGCGTCGTTTCTGTGTGTCCGGCATATGGGTGTGGGAACGGGCCATCTCAGCTTGAGTGTCTGCTTGTTTCATGTCAAGCAGTCGGACGAACCCCTCCGAGGCAAACACTCTTGCTCTCACGTGCAGCATCGAGAATTCCAAAGCCTCAAAACTTTTGTGTTCATGTTTGACCTCTAAACCAATATCTTCATGCCTGCCTGCAGCGACTTGCCCTTCGTCTCCACCGCCTCACCCTTCCACAGGTGCAGAGCGAGCAGGCATTTTTTTTCTCTCTTCTTGTCTTGTTGCCTTTTCCTCCCTGTATGCTTCGATATCCCTCGCCGTGGGCAGCCGCTCTCAGATGCCATCTTCCTTGGGCTCACTACTGCTGTTGACAATAGTTGTCCTCTCTCTCTCTCTCTCTCTCTCTCTCTTTTTCTGTTCTTTCTACACTCTTCTCTCAACTTCTGTTTCTTTTGCCTTCCATTACCTACTCCTAAGACTATCTAGAGGCTCTCTCTCTCTCTCTCTCTCTCTCTCTCTCTAAGCCTACTCGTTGCGCAGTGTCCTTGGTGGACACCCAGTCCCCCCCTTGCAGTTGTGGGCCCCTGCGCAGGATAGGGAGCCAAGCCATGCACAACATCGCCACTTGGCCAGGGATCAGCGGCCTGCTTCTTTGTCTACCCCAATTCTCTCTGTGCCTCCTCCACGGGTTGTTGCGGTTCCGTTGTCCCAAACGGATACATCCGCTCCTATGCCTCCTGCAGACAGTCCAGCTGCTTGCACACAGNAGAGAGAGAGAGAGAGAGAGAGAGAAAGAGAGAGAGAGAAAGAGAAAGAGAGAGAGAGAGAGAGAGAGAGAGAGAGAGAGAGAGAGAGAGAGAGAGAAAGAGAAAGAGCGAACTGAGCTGGCAACGTAGAGCTCAATCGTTCAGGTACTTCTACATTGGTTTCGTTTGCCTGTTCTCCTTTGTATATGTTACTTGGCTGATAGTTCCATCAGACAATCGCGGATGATGCCTTGGCCATCATGATCTGTTGACAACAATACTTTTCTGTGGTGGTTATGTTCCAGGAATGCTGCAAGTGGATATACGAGTGGCGGTCCCAGTCAGAGAGGGATCCTCGACTTACACGGACTTCATGTGAATGAGGCGCTCCCTTTGTTGAAGCGAGAGCTGGCAGCTCTAAGGGCTGCGTCGCAAAGGCTAAGACAAAGACAACAGATTTTTGTATGTGTGGGGACAGGGCATCATACAAGAGGAGTACGGGCACAAGCACGGCTTCCGGCAGCAGTTGAAAGATGCCTGGCAGAAGAGGAGCAGGTCCATTTCGCTGAGGCGAAGCCGGGACTACTCCATGTAGTGATTTGATACACCATTGATATGAAATTGAGTTTGGGACTGTTAGGGACCATAGGGGACAACCGTGGTGGGTATTTTCTCCCTTTGGCGACTGTTAGGGACTGGAGGGGACAACAGTGCACTGGGTACTTCTCCACAAAATGATGTGGGGAGGTCGCTTGCCTGTTTCACCGTCATGGTGGCTGCCTGACTGGACCTTTTATCACGTTGGGCTAGTCTTTTCCGGGCCCGTGCCTGACTGGACCTTATACCACATGGGGCTAGTTTTGTCTGGGTGTGTCCTGCTTGCGCTGAGCTGGATCTTACCTAGACCTTACCCCATGTAGGTTCCGTCGGCTTGTATCCATACCAGAATCTCTTTCCTTCTTCATTCATGTGCCATAGATCATTGACAAGTAGAACCTGATTTCAGTTCACCATGTAGGTTAGGTCATGTCCTCTATGTTCTCGCTCTCTAGGGCACCCAATTTCACAAACTATGTGCTGGTACTGCACTGACATCCCATAACTTTCCTCTTCACATTTGTAAATCCGCGCTGAGAGGCATTTGTACCTGTCCATCCACCACTGGTACACCTTCTCAGATTTTCTTGAACACTGTCCATTTCATAATTTGTGCATCTATTGACTGTCCCTCTCGCTGTTGGCTTTTGCTGTACGATCTAACAGGCATAGTAGGATTTCCTTTTCGTCCACTTCGGTGCTCTGCGTACACCCGCCTCGTGCCGGCAGACTTGCGTGATCCTGCAGGCTATTTCATGATGTCTCCGGACACCCTGATCATCTGCGCTGCTTCGGTTCTTCTGAGAGTCAGCATTTCGTCGGTTCAAGGCAACAGGTAAACCCTTGTGGCTTCCCGCCCATTTCTCCCGCCAGTTTCTGCGTTTATACACAAATGTGAGCAATTTGGTTCAACCGTCTTTTCGTGTTCTCTGTAGAGAGGGTTTTATTTTCACATTTCCAGCATATGACACTTTTCTGGCTGGAGCGGTGATGACCTTCACCTGGTCATCGCCAAATGTTATTGATACAGTGATACTTACTTCCGTCGGAATTGCTCGAGTCCAGCTTCATTGTCGTCAGCATTCCACACGTAGTTGTCGTGCTCACACCAGTCAAAAGGGGACAGTTCTATACTTTGATATCTGTTGTCAACAGGGATCTCTTTGCGACTGGTGTTCATGTAGGTTGGCGCCTCCATCGTTGCTTTGAGGATGGATGGGTGGTGCTCTGGTTGTTGTTTGTTGTTTCTTTTTAGGGGCGCAAGACGGGTGGGTGGGTGGAGCCGGCGTTGGTATTGAGGGTGGAATGAGGGAAAGGGGATCATTGCTTTTTCCCACGTCTCTCGAGTGTGCTTGAGAACTGCTGCCTGGGCCTGGCTCGCCCCGTGTCTGTTAGATTGCTCACCCTGACGTGACGATGTCTGTGTACTGTGAAAGTTGCGAAGTATAAGTCTCTGCACAGGGAACTCTGGTGTTGATTCCCTATACTGAGATTCAGCACAACTCTCCTGTCAAATGGCGATTGGCAGAGCGATATGGTCAGTTATTTCGTCTCTCCTTCTAACGAGACCTGGAGCGACTTTGGAAGTTAGTTTGTGTAATCTGCTGTAGAAAAAAGACTGGATCAGTGGGCAGGGAGGGGAGACTCGTGATGATTACGTATTCTTTAGGTAGGTATTCAAAAGGCCACTCCGTCAGGCCAATTGGTTCACTTCTATCGATCTGCCACCCCTTGCCCCCTCTCTTCTTTTTCC